GAAGCATAACGACTGTTTCATGTTTGGACTCAATGACTATTACATATACTGAATTGTTTCATTGTCTGGTAATTACACAGCTGAACTCTGTAGAGAGAGCAGGTTGCACAGGGCCCTTTTATCCTTTAGCCTATCCTTTAATTATCCTTTTATCCTTTAATTATCCCTTTGCCAACTGGCTCTGCCATATCTTATGACTTGCCTTTTTATTCTCGCAATTATCACACTCACAGCATAAGCTTTTTTTCATTACTGGTCAATCATTCCATATCACTGTCAACTCCATTTATTGCTATCCGCAATTGTGTAAATTTTCTCAATCTCAATAATGGGACAGTCCTAAATTTCTCATCTTGATTTAAACTTGATAATAAGCCACACTCGTACTCAAGTGTAAGGGAAGTTATCTTTGAGGCTTTAGCCCTGTTTGTAACAAATACACTGTATTAGGAGTTTTGGCTTGCATTGCCTCCAATCCAGGTAAGCAAATGCCGCTGCCCAAGTGGAAGTGCCAGACAGATTGTTTAAAAGGCACGGAGTTGGAGTCAGAGTTGGTAAGGGATGGGTATGTTGAGGATCCTTTGGAAAATTTGTTATTGATCTCTAAAGCTGTTCGTTTGTAAGGGTAATTCTTTTGCAAGAGGGAAGAGCTGTCTGGGGTACAGCTATATTGCATGGAGCAGACCTATGTTTCTCATCCTTACATCAGGGTGAGTTTTTCGTAGCTGGTGAGTGGCGGTGCCACTCAATGCAAAGACAAGGAAGTAATCTGTTAAATGTATTGCCAAAGTACCAGTATACATGTATAATGGTTTTAATTTCAAAACCTGTTATTCTTATGCATGCTACAGATGGCAACTGGACATATCAATTTCACATGCCATGATAAAAAGTCACTTCTTTTTGAGAAAGTTTGCTGGAAATGTAAGGACAGGCTCTCTGACCTTCAGTTTACACACATGTAGATGTTTAAATTTCACTTACCAGAGCTCATCTGCATGTTTTCTTTAAAGGCCTGATCAATGCAACAGACCAGACCAAAAAAACATTGTCCAAGCAGTGTCTGTTCCCTGCTTAGATATATTAAGTACATGTAGCTTTTGTAAACAGGTCAGAACTGAATTTGAATCTGGAGGGTCACTGAGCTTGTCACAGTTTGCAAGCAAACCACTACTTTTTCAAGAAGTGAAATCCATGAATGCTAAAAAGCAGGGTTGGCTACTTATTCGATTCAAATAATAGTGAAAATTTTAAACACCTTTTTTAAATTTAAATCAGATTTTTTTTTACTTACAAATTTTGGTATGCCTCAACATTTTCAGAAATACTACCCACACACCCTGAAAAACCCATCAACAAGGAGCTTTCAGGTTTCTATACCAATTACCTGATAAAAATAATTCAGTATTTAGAAATTTCCAGAAAACAATTCTCAAAAATTAGTAATGATATCCACCTTTGACAAAAAACACTGCTGCATATGAAGTCACCCTGAGGGAAATTGCCGTTATGTACTTTACCATTAAACTTTTCTCAGGGAAAGTGCTATTAGTACAAGTCATAGCATGGCAAATCCCCAGCAGTAAGTTCAAATTTTCTGGGAATCCCAGGATCAGCAATGACAGTACCCGGTATCTTAGTACAATACTTTTAAAGACAACCCATGTCCGGCAGAAACAAAAATAATCCCATTGGGTGCCACTTTGAAAAATCAGCATCAAAAAAACAGTGAGAGATGTACATTGTTAAACCTTTGGACATGAGTTGCAGGGATTGGTGAAGTGAATCCTTCTGGGATATGACGTACATCTATGGTCTCACCACAATCAGACATCATCACTGGATGCTCCAGAGTGCACGGCAAATGTTTAATCTGTCACCCATTCACAACCTTTCCTCTACTTTGTGATCCTTTTGGCAAGATATCTCAAAATCAAGAGGTATTAATAATATCGACGTTCTCATTTTCAAGGCCCATTTAGGACCAAATTCAGCTCAAAATGGCAGATGAAATGGAATCAGACACCTGGTGGAACCAACCGATATTCCATATTAACCTCTGAATAATTATTATCAACACTAGACAGATTAATCAGTCAAGCTCAGCATGAATCACAATCTCAAACTAAAAGCCGTAAATGACCAAAACACATCATACAGTGATGTCTACATGGACTCAGACCTCCACAAAACTCCCAACCTATGTACATGTATGTCACTTTTTACCCAGAGCCAAAAAACCAAGAAGCAACCTACCCGTACAATAGTCATCATCAATTCCCCAGATGTCAAACTTGCTAAAGTTAATCTGATCAGAAGAAGCCAAAGCTGTGAATAGTCTTATTGGTAATTTTGTGAGAAGCATGTTCAAGAATGACCAAGGGGGTATTACTGCTAGATGCCATACTCCAGCCCAGCTAGACGCCATGTGGCAACATGACCAATGGACCTCAACTACCAAATTTGCTAAATCAAAAAACCCGAAGCAAGGCAGCTGTCACTGGAATCCCAATGGAATACCAGAAGCCTGCAAGAAACTGAGAGTTTGGAGGTTAAACGCCTGCTGCGCAGAACATACAGCCAACTAGAAAAAAGTCTCTGTCTGCCTAATCTTCAGTACACCCACCCTACGGTACCCGGCACATTCCAACTGGGATATGAAAACGTTTGAGTAAGCCCATCATTTCACCTGTAATATGAAGC